CATGATCGCCCGAGATACATTGTTACTTGGCTCCAAACTTGTATATATATATAACAAGTAATTATTTCAATACTCAATTTTATTTATAAACATCAAGCAGTGTCTAGAGTGTATTATCAGTTTCTTTAGCGACAATATAAGATCTTAAAGAGGTCGAGGCAGTAAGGAAGAAACATATGACACATATGAAAGTGTTATCAAAGAGACAAGGATTAGATATAAATTATAAAATCCTGTCATTATCATATCTTGAAATGACTAGCTGGGAGGAGCCGATACTGAGCTCGGATTCAATACATGATTCAGATCTAAGCTTAATCTAGAACAAGTAAAAAAAAGTTCTAGTATGAAATCTAATGATATACTGTAAAGATAAGAAAAACTTCAGGGAATGAGGACGGTTGATATCAAAGAAATGTCACACCATACACACCAATAAAAGCAAAGTAAACAATAAATTTTCCACACAATCTGAACATGTAGGTCAAGAGAAAAAGTTCTGGGGAACTGCACATGGGGAATTCTGTTGCCCCATTCTATAAATTCCTTACCATATGATGTTGCCACATTCAACTATTGCTTCTTATATAAGAGAAGTGTAGACATTAGTGAACAAGCTACTTTCTTCAAGAATGATTTTTTTGTATTGATTTAAAAATACCTCAATTTTTAATTCATTCCCCACTAATACAATTTAAGAAAATCAACAAAACTTGTAAACATTTATAAAAAAAAGTATGGAAGAAATTCAACAAATCTTATTTTCTTGCATGTAGAAAAACAATGTAAACGAAACAATATTGTACACTTACCGTCCCATGACGATTTCAATTGGGATGCGGGTACCATCAGTTGTATTTGACGAAGTTGTAGATACAATGTCATTCCTTGGTATTTCGATCCCCACAGATGAAGATGGTCCCGATATGTTGACTGCAACTGAATCTGGCGTAACTGGTGTTGGCAGTTCAGGCAATGATGGTGCTTGATCACGTGCGAAACTCGACATTAGAGGAGATGCCACTGGATCTGCTGTCCTTTTTCCAGAATATCTACAACGTCCACCCCCCCGAGGTGCCATAACCGCAATTTCAAAGTTAAATGTGGATGAAGTAATATCATAATGATTGAATCATGATTGATCAAATTATAACAAGAATAGATAGTTAGTTGATATATCACTTCAAGAACAAGATCCCTCTGAAATTTAAGAAAAAACGTAGTTAATCTAGTTAGCAGATAAATATATAAACACTTCTATAAATAAAATAATCTCATCACTATTCCAAACATAGATCTCGAATCATACTGGGAATAGTTGTTCAAACAAAACAACCAGGAGAATTATTAAAACAAAATAAGTATACTGGTAAAAGAGACGAAATATAAAATCAACTTATATACTACATTTTAGTAACTCTAACTCCTATATTTGAAGAGATTGGAGCACTTTGACTCTATTCACTGCCACTTTCATAGTACGCCTCTTCATTCTCATTTTCATCATCTGATTCTGATTCTAATTCATCATGAAACTCTGTCTCATCATCTAAATTATCATCCTCATCTCTCAAGTTTATGAATTCGCCATTTGGATCATTCCGGACAATAGTTTCACTATCGGACACTACATCAAATCTTAAACCATCTTCATCACATTGGAAAGGCTCAACAACATCTACTAGAGGGGACACTAAAGATGATGGAGACATATCCACAATACCCCGAGCTTTTGTTTTGCACACAACCCACCAATCACTCTTATCACATCATAAGCTAGGATAAGTAGCATAATACATTTGAGCCGCTTGCATTGCCAAAACAAATGGTTCGTACTTCCTCAATTTTCTTCTATGATTGATATCCACAAGTTTATATTGTGGGTGAATCTTCATTCCTACGTTTGGTGTGGGGTCAAACCATTCACATTTAAATAAAACAGTTCTTTTGATTGGTGTACTGCCCTTGTACTCCAATTCAAGAATTTCAGTAAGCACACCATAGTAGTCATTCTCATCTGCACTATAATTTGTTCCTTTTATGCAAACTCCACTGTTATTAGATGCTCTAGACAAACTGCGTCCTTTAGTGTGAAATTTAAAGCCGTTGACATTATAACCAGTGTATGGCTTCGCTGTCGACATGGACCTTCTGCAAGCGCCTTGATGAACTGATTATCTATGTGGACTCGGGCCTATCAAATTAAAAAATATTAGAGTTTCTTATAAGTAAAGTAAGTACAGATGAAAAGATATTGTACAACTGCTCACATATCTTGTGAACCATGATGCAAATTCTTCATCAAGTTTTCTGTCCACTTCCTGCTCCGTAATTTGTGGAAACATTTGATGAAGAGAGTCAATAAAATTCCTTTGGATCACATAAAAGAAAAAACTATGTAAGATTTTTTCTGATAATTTTAGTGTATAAATGAAAGCAAAAGTTTGAAATCTTACTCCACATATGGCTGCACTTCTCTACAATTTAGTAAAATATAAATATGAGCTGCTTTAAGTTCTTCTTCAGTAAGATATCTACGATTTAGTTCCCCAAATCCCCGACCTGGATAGGTGAATATAGAAAGATTATCATCGTATCCATCTTGTTCATCCATACCACCATCGTCATTCTGTGGCACTTTTCTATGCCTTGTGTAAACATGAGGCTCGAAGTAGTGTGAACAAAATGATGAAGCTTCCTCAACTATATGTGCGTTGCATATGCATCCTTCGACATGTGCCTTATTTCGAACATTATATTTATATTTTCGGAGATTTCTGAAAATAGCACAAAAGCTCAAGGCATTAGTCACTCATAATGATGAAAACAAAGTACTTAAATAGTCAAGTCTATTTTGGTGGTTAGGGACAGATGAAAGAAATTGTATATTAAGGGTTTTGCATCCAAGCATACATGTTACATCTGTTTTTGCAACCACAAAAGGTTATTAAACTCATCAAAACTGCGTGTAGGAAATATTTATGAACAGGGGAAACCAATATTACTAAAAGGAAACTTGTAGTCTGGGACAAGGTGACTCTTCCTAAAGGTTCAAGAGGCTTGAATAATTATTTAAAGACCTGGAATCAAGCTGCAACATGCAAACTGTTGTTGTTGTTGAGTCAGAACAAGGAAAAACTATGGATTAATTGGGTCCATAGACACTATATAAATGACAGGAGACTACCAGATCACATAGAGTTTCCCGATATGCTTCTTGGATGATAAGAAAGATGTTTCATATGTGAAAATTCTGGCAGATTATCAATTTATATAAACAAACAGATCATAAGGGGGGAGTATAAAATATCATATACTTTAAACTTTAAGAGGTTTTTTGCAAAAGAAGTTCCTTATAAAAATCTTGTATGTCATAATATTTCATGTTGTCAAGACTGACCTATGCAACTAGTTAAGAAGAAGAAAAAGGTTATTTGAGCTTTCAAGTTCTCTTTAATTAGATTATAACTTTATATTAGAGATAGTGATTAGGATTGGAAGGTTATTTAGGCGTTGTCTGAGAAGGGAAGGTTGTTGGTTGGCTCCTCCCTAAGCTTTTTATTGTCGCCTGGTGATTAATAAAATAAGTTTAATTGCAAAAGAAATAAAGTACTTGAATATATAAATGAAGTCTTACCTCTCAAATGGATACATCCATCGATATTGTACCGGACCAGCTATCATTGCTTCGTAAGCGAGATGCACAGGGAGATGCTCCATTGAGTCAAAGAAGCTAGGAGGGAATACACGCTCTAATTTACAAAGTATTTCAGGTATTTTTTGTTGTAGTCTTACCATATCCTCTTCACGAATTACTGTAGAAGTGATATCCCTAAAGAAAAGGCTCATCTCAGTAAGTGCTTCCCACACTTTTTTGGGTAATAGCTCACGGAATGCAACAGGTACCAATCTTTGCATAAATACATGACAATCGTGACTTTTCATACCGAATAACTTGTGTTTTTTCATTTCCACACACCTTCCCATATTCGAGACATATCCATCAGGAAATTTTAGATTTTTCACCCATTCACACAACAATTTTTTTTACTCTTCTTTCAGTGTGTAAATAGCTTTCGGATACTTCCCATCAACAGCATGTAATTCAGGGCGTCGACAGTATTCACACAACAATTTTTTTGACTCTTCTTTCAGTGTGTAAATAGCTTTCGAATACTTCCCATCAACAGCATGTAATTCAGGGCGTCGACAGAACTCTTTCAAGTCTTCTCTTGATTTGGGATTATCTTTTGTTTTACCATTTACCTCCAGCACTGTGTTGAACACATTCTCAAAGAAGTTCTTCTCAATGTGCATTACATCTAGATTATGCCGAATGAGATTAGTACTCCAATATGGCAAATCCTAGAATATGCTTCTCTTCTTCCAACCAGAAAACTTACTAATCTGACGATTAATAATATCAGCCCCAAGTTCTGTTACCTTTTCAAGTCCTAGTTCTTCTATCTCTTTTAAGACACCTTCTCCTGATCGTAATGGGGTAGGCGGCATGGTTACTACCCTGTTCTTTCTAAATGAGTTCTTATCCTTTTTGTATGGATGATTAAGTAGCAGAAACTTACGGTGGTTGTCAAACCAGGACTGCTTACCACCTTTTGTCAAAATAAAAACATCAGAATTCTCCATACAATATGGACATGCTAGCCTGCCTGCAGTACTCCATCCAGACAACATCGAATATGCAGGAAAGTCACTTATTGTCCACATCAAAGCAGCTCGCATTTGAAAATTTTGATTCTTAGAGATATCATATGTGTTGACACCTACATTCCATAGGTTCTTCAACTCAGCAATCAAAGGCTGCAAGAAGACATCTAGTTGCTGCTTAGGATTCTTTGGTCCAGGAACTATAACAAATAAAAATAAATATGGATCTTTCATACACTTCCAAGGAGGTAAGTTGTATGGTGTCACAATTATTGGCCAAGATGAATATTGCTTTCCTGTTTGACCAAATGGCTGAAACCCATTAGTGGACAGTCCCAATCTAACATTACGACTTTCCTCTGAAAAAGATGGATGCATCTTATCAAAATGCTTCCATGCAGGTGCATCTGAACAGTGACGCATCACACCTTCCTCAACTTCATGTTCAGCGTGCCATCGCATGTGTGAAACAGTTGCTGTGGAAGCATACATTCGTTGCAGTCGTGGAGTAAGAGGAAAGTAATACATCTGTTTGAATGGTACAAGATTTTTCTTCTGAATAGATCTTTGACTTGTAAGCTTATACCTGGGATGACTACAAAACTTGCAATTTACAAGTTCACTATCCTCTCCCCAGTAAATCATGCAGGCATTGACACAAGTATGAATTTTTTCAACTGGCATGTTCATTCCCCTCATTAACTTTTTAGTTTCATAGAAATTTTTTGGCATCACAGTATCGGGCGGAATCATCTCATTCACATATTGACAAATATCATCAAAACATCTTTCAGAGAGGTGATGTTCAGCCTTGGTATGCAACAAACGAGCAACAGCTGATAATTTTGAGTGTGTTTCACAACCAGGCCACACTTCTTGATTTGCAGAATCAAGCATATCATTAAAATGTTGGGCATCAGGATTAGGTAATTCCTTCATATCATCTGGAACAAATGCGGGACCAGCAGCCTCATGAACCATTCTATGATAAGACGTACTAGGTCTAGGATCATCAAATTCACTAACATCAACCGGTAGGTTATTCATAGTATGTTCCCAGTTGTGCATTCTTTCATCTTGATCTATAGTTTCCACAACTTCACTTTCTCCATGCAAATACCATACATGATATTCCGGTACAAAACCTTCTTTTAATAAATGCCCATGGACAATATGAACATTTTCAAAGTTTCTATTCTGACATTTCTTTCGGTTACATGGGCACCTTAATCTCTCACCATCCCTTCCTTCTGGATGACTCATAGCAAACTCAATAAATTGTTGTACACCTCTTAGGAATTCAGGATCATACAAACTTTTGGTTAATCTTTTGTACATCCATTGACGATTTGAACTCATTTTACTTATAAACTTCTTTTCTGATAATGTGAGAAGGGCAAATAGTGAAATAAAAGCTCACAGAGAATTGAAAAGAAGAAATTTGCAGTATGACAGAAAATGAAACAGAGAAGAATGTTATTTGTTTGAAATTTAAACTGGAACTCTTTTTTACAGCAGGTATGTAGGTTGTATATATTAACTAAATAATAACCTTTTCTCCTAAAATAACTCCAACAAAGTCCTATTCAAATAAATAGCTAACTGATATCATTCCTAAATATTGAAAACTGAAATATTTGACTCTGTCAACTTAAAAAATCTTAAAACAGTAAAAGAAAACATATGTAGATGCAACTAATTTTATAGCATTGCAATTATAAAATCTTTGAATAGTTAAAAGGGTGCAATTTATAATCAAGCTAGAAGGACAAATAATTCGACTCAAGCTTCTTTTCTTTCTTTTTTAGTAGGTTAGTTTAATCAAAACTTCGTAAAACATGTAACTCAACATATGAAGGTAATGAGAAGTATTATGTTGTTAGCCCTATTGATTTATAGCTTTTTCAGGTTGGGAGAAGAAACATGCAAACCAACCTCACAACTATCTTAATTAGGCAAATCCTCTTATCAAGGGAATTCAAAAACAAATGTGTATATTCGCTCTTATTTATTCCAGCGATAACTAATCAACCACATACTATATAAACACTATATACTAACCAAGCAAATAAAGAATGTCAGAAGAATTACAATTAATCAAATCATACAAAATAGGAAAATAAATATGATAAAGAATACATACTGTTTAGCCGAAAGGATTGTGGAACTGATAATTCAAGTGTGGTAGATGAATTGTAGGTGACTATATTTGGAATTTTTTTTACATGAAGTGTGAACGTGGGCAACATTTGGAGAAAGAAAAAAACTGAATAATGGCGCGAGTATAGCTCTATATTTTTGGGAGGTGGATTATTTTAGCGGCAATTTTTTTTATTTGGACTATTTTTACAAAAAATAAGCAGATTCTTATATTATTTTCTTGAACTATAAAATACAAATTGAGTCCAAAAGAATTTTAACTAATTTTTAAAGATTGGATATGCCATAAAATCATTTTATTTAATATAAACATAGAAAATAAAAAAAAAGTGCAAAAATTGGAACAAGCATCGGAGTCTACACAATACCTACCTCAGCACAAAACAAGCAACACATGCAATTATTTGGACAAAAAGAGGAAACAAGCAACACAAACAATATTTTGTACAAAGAGAGGATGAAAGGGTAAGAAGACATATGTTAGACGACACGCCAATATGGGTCTTTTTAGCAAAAATTGATGCATCTGATAGAGCTTGAGTTGAAAATTTAGGTGATTTACAGCTGATGTGAATTTTTCCTTCATCTGTAGCTCTCCAATCTAAGCGGCTTTTAGATCTCATCATATGTAGCGATTTGTATCTCTCCAATTTCGATGAGGTCAACGTGACGAACTATGAAACTGTAGCGATGGGTGGATACCTGCAATTTCCAATCTGATGCAGCAAATTTACAATTCATCAGCTCTCCAAGTTTAGGACGGATAAATATCTGGGAGATTCTCCGAGTTTAGGACGGATAAAGATCTGGGAGATTCAAAAAAGGGCAAACCATCAGCTCTCCAAAATTATTTTGAATGTTGATGATAGAGATTTTGCTGGTTCGAAATGAGATTCAAAACAAGTTCTTACCTTTGGAGTGAGATTTGAAGCCACTAATAGGAAGAACTGATCTTCTCCAAATTTCCTCAGCTAAGATGAAGATGGAGACGATCTGCTAGATCTTTGTTTTAGTTCTTTTGTTTTTTCTTACATTATTTTCTTTTTTAGTTTTTACTTCTATATTATAATTTAGTAAGTAAGATAATATTACTAATAAGCTGTCATCCACTAAAAGTTATGGTTAGTAGGTTTCAAAAAAAAAAAAAAAAAAAAATATATATATATATATGGCGACAAATTGTCAAAAAAAAAATAAAAAAAAATAAAATATATATATATATATATTATATTCATGGAAGCATGAAAATATAATTAAATGCTTTGATGTAAAAAATATTGACTTCAATATTTTATATTATATGGATGAACTATTTTACAAAAAGACATGTAATGAATCTGATTGTATCTATAGAAAATACTTATATTTAATTAAGAGTGATATTAAAGTAGAAGTAATAAATGGTAATAATTTTTTTGGGTTTTGGTTTGTTAAATTAAAATTTAATAACATTATATACGAACCGAAGTCAACTTTGGCTAAAGTCAAACGTCTAAGTTAAAACGCCTAATGGCACAAATTCAAAATGAAAGCCTCAAAATCCGAACCAAACATTCTACTAGACCAAAAAGGACCTTGCAAAGATAATCACGCTGATGCAATTCTCATCCAAGTACGTTTACCAAGAATGCTGACCGAAGTCAAACTTTGGTCAAACCTTCAAAGTTAAAACGCCTAACAGCACAAACTCAAAACAAAATCCTCGAAACCCAAACCAATCATCATATTAAACCGAAATGTACTTTCCGGAGTTAATCGCGCTGATAGAACTCTCATCCAAGAACTTTTACCAAGAATGATGACCAAAGTCAAACTTTGGTCAAAACCTCAAAGTTAAAACGTCTAACAACATAAACCTAAAATGAAAGCCTCGAAACCCCAACCAACCATCCCACTAGAACAAAAAGGACCTTTCGGATCTAACCGTCCTGACAAAATTTTCATCGGAGCACATTTACCAAAAATGTTGACCGAAGTCAAACTTTGGCCAAAAGTAAAAAGTTAAAACGCCTAACAACACAAACTGAAAACGAAAGACATAAAACTTGAACTAACCATCCTATTACATCAAAAAGGACTTTTCGGAGCTAACCGCGCTGATGAAATTCTCATCCGAGCACTTCTACTAAGAATGTTGACCAAAGTCAAACCTTGGGCAAAACTTAAAAGTTAAAACTCCTAATGCCACAAACTTAAAATGAAAGCCTCGAAATCTAAACCAACCATCCTATTAGACCAAAAAGGACCTTTTGGAGCTAACCGTATTAACATAATTTTCATCCGAGCCTTTTTACCAAGAATTTTGATCGAAGTCAAATTTTGATCAAAACTTCAAAGTTAAAACGTTTAACGGCACAAACTCAAAATGAAACCCTTCAAACCCGAACCAACCATCCTACAAGACCAAAAAGGACTTTCCAGAGTTAACTTACATAATACTCATTCAAGTATGTTTACCAAGAATGTTAACAAAAGTCAAACTTTGATCAAAACTTCAAAGTTAAAACGCCTAAAAACATTAACTAAAAAAAAAGCCTCGAAACCCGAACCAACCATCCTTTTGGATGAAAAATGATCTTACGGAGCTAACTGGGCTGATGAAATTCTAATCTGAGCATGTCTACCAAAAATATTGACCAAAGTCAAATTTTGGTCAAAATATAAAAGTTAAAATGCCGAACAGCACAAAGTGAAAACGGAAGCCTTAAAACCAGAACCAACCACCCTATTAGACCAAAAAGGACCCTCCTGAGCTAACCGCGCGCTATCAAAATTCTTATCCCAACACTTATAGTAAGAATGTTGACCAAATTTAAACTTTTGTCAAATGTTAAAAGTTAAAACTCCTAGAGCTACAAATTCAAAACAAAAGCCTCAAGACCTGAACCAACCATCCTATTAGACCAAAGTTGACCTTCCAGAGCTAATCGCACTGACATAATTCTTATTTAAGCATGTTTACCGAATTTATTGACCAAAGTCAATTTTTTTTCAAAACGTAAAAGTTAAAATGCCTAACGACACAAACTGAAAACAAAAGCTTCATAACCCCAACCAACCATCCTATCAGACGAATTAAAAATCTTTCGGAGCTAACCGCGCTGATGAAATTCTCATATGAGCACGTTTACCACATATATTGACCAAAGTTAAAGTATGGCCAAAACTTAAAGTTGAAACGACTAACGGCACAAACTAAAAATGAAAGCGTCAAAAATCGACCCAACCATATCCTATTAGACCAAAAATAACCTTTCAGAGCTAACCGCGCTAATAGAAATCTAATTTGAGCTCATTACCAAATATATTGACCAAAGTCAAATTTTGGTCAAAACTTAAAAGTTAAAACGCCTAACGACAAAAACTTAAAATGAAAGCCTCACAACCAAAACCAACCATCCTATTAAATAGAAGATGACCTTTGGAGATAATCACGCTGAAGGAATTTTCATCTGAGCACGTGCACAAAAACATTGATCGCAGTCAAATTTTGGCCAAAACTTAAGATTTGAAACACCTAACGGCAAATTGACCACGTTTACCAAATATATTGACCAAATCTAAATTTTGGCTAAAACTTAAAAGTTAAAACAAACACCAAACGGTACAAACTGAAAATAAAAGCCTCAAAACCCGAACCAACAATCCTATTAGAACAAAA